GCACAGTGTGTCTGTGGAACATGGGAGACAAAGCCAAGGCCTGGTGGTTTCTGAGGCCCCTGCCCATTCCTGATCGTCCCTAGGAGATGGTTGCAATGGACTTCATTGTGGATTTGCCACCCTTGGAGGGGTTTACTACCATTCTGGTAGTAGTGGATCGGCTATCCAAGATGACCCACTTTTTACCAATGGTGGGTACTCCATCCACACCAGAGACTGCACTACATCAAAGAGATTGTCAGGTTACATGGTCTGCCCAGTAATATCGTCTCAGACCAAGGGGTGCAGTTTACGTCCAGGTTCTGGATGGCCCTCTGCAAAGCCCTGAAGGTGGAACTCTGCTTATCATCCGCTTACCATCCCCAGAGTAACGGGCAGACGGAGTGAACGAACCAGATTTTGGAGCAATATTTACGGTGCTTCTCTGCTTTTTCTCAGGATGATTGTGCATCCCTACTCCCATTGGCAGAATTTGCCTACAACAATTCAGTTCATTCTGCTACAATCCAGTCACCATTTTGGGCCAATTATGGATTCCACCCTTCCTCCATACCTGACACCATTCCTGAAGTTTCGGTACCCGCAGTACAGGACAGACTCTCCATGCTACAGAACAACTTAAAGTCCTTCGAGAGTCTATACCAGCAATGGGCAAACTACGGCCCGCGGGCCGTATACGGCCCAGCGGACCTTTTAATCCGGCCCGCGGAGCTAGGCTCCTCTCACAGTCCGCCCTGAAGACCTGTGTAGCATGAAAATCTGTCTCCTATGAGGATCTGTCCCCCTCGACGTATCTGCGCATGTGCCAGAGATCGCCGATCGGCTGCTAATGCCTGAAACTGGCACATGCGCAGATACATCAAGGGGGACAGATCCTCATAGGAGACAGATTTTCATGCTACACCAGAACGGCGCGGGAAGACAGTGAGAGGAACGCGCGGAGCAAAGGTAAGTGAATTGACACAGGGGGGACTTGGGGACTGAATTACTAGGGGGGATGAATTACTATATGGGGGATGAATTACTATAGGGGGGATGAATTACTATATGGGGGATGAATTACTATATGGGGGATGAATTACTATGGGGGATGAATTACTATGGGGAATGAATTACTATATGGGGGATGAATTACTATATGGGGGATGAATTACTATATGGGGGATTAATTACTATGGGGGGAATGGGGAATTACTATGGGGGGATGAATTACTATATGGGGGATTAATTACTATTACTATGGGGGGATAATTACTATGGGGGAATTACTTATGGGGGGTGAATTACTATACTATACTATGGATGACACATACACATCATTCATCTACTCTTGGTCCGGCCCCCGGGTCCAATATATGAACCCATTGCGGCCCTCAAGTCAAAAAGTTTGCCCACCCCTGGTCTATACTAAAGTCCCAGGCTGATTATAAGAAACACTATGACAGGAAATGGAGAGGAAACAAAGTTTGGCTATCTACTGCCAATCTAAGACTCCCGTGTCCATCACGTAAGTTGGGTCGATTTTGGTGGAAACACGGGTCAAAAGTTTTTTTGGAAAAAAGACATTTATGAATGTTTTTTTTTTTTTATTTTTCACTTTATTGATTTGGAGTGGGACTTATTAATTAAAATTTTTTATATATTTTTATTCATTATTATTTATTTAATTTTTCACTGGAGTGTAAATTTATTTATATATTTGCGCTGTTTTGATGTCTTATAAGTCCATGTTAAACCTTACCCCTGGCATTGAACTGTTAAATAAAAGATGTTCAGAAGGCAGTAAAGGCACTTGACGGGTGAATGTCACAGTGGTACATTTGTCACTTTAATACTTTGATTGGCAAGAATGTGCTGCATATATTATGGTGGTACCATCCCCTACGTGTATAGATAATAAGTATATATGTATAAATACAGGACACCAGGGATGGGTCTTGGATGGGAGATATTGTGGTCTCTTTAAGAGGGATGAAAAGAAGCATTTGGGAATATTCAGAGATTCTCACCAATGCAGGGTGAAAGGTTCCCAGGTGATTTGGCAAAAGAGGAAAACTGACTTATAGTTTTGAGCTGAGAAGGACACAGTTGTGTGAGGACCAGGGGCAGGCTAACCATTTGGAAACACGGGCACTGCCCAAGGGCCTGGGGTCAGTAGGGTCCCCATGAGATGCCCCTAGTACCTTTTCCATAGGCTTTTTTGAGTTTGGCCAAGGACACAAGGGCCCCATGATCCCCTATTGCCCAGGGGCCCCATGAGTTTTCAGTCCATCCCTGGTAAGGACTGTTGACTGTCTTGTTATTGAGCCACTGCTACTCAACTCTTGCAACATTTCTGGACCCCTGAAGCAGGCTGGAGCTTTAACCACTAAAATTTTACTCCCTTCATGACCAGGACATGTTTTGCTATTCAGCACTTTGCTGCTTCAACTGGCTATTGCATGGTCATGCAACACTGTAAGCAAATTAAATTTATATCATTTTTTCACACAGTTAGAGCTGGTTGTATTTGATCATCACTGGGTTTTTATGTTTTGCTATATAACATAGAAAGAAAATTTAGAAAACAAAAATATTTTCTTCTTTCTATTATAAAACATAGCCAATAAAATCAAATTGCTTTGTACATTTAGGTCAAAATGTATTCTGTCTTTGGTAAACAAAATCCCAATAAGTGTCTATTAACCACTTACCATTTACCCCCCTTAATGACCAGGCCTCTTTTTGCTATTCCGCACTGAACTATTTCAAATGATAATTGTGCGGCCATGCAGTGCTATACCCAAAAAAAAATGTATGTCCTTTTTCACACAAATAGAGCTTTCTTTTAGTGGTATTTGATCACCTGTGCACTTTTTATTTTTTGCGCTATAAACAAAAAAAAAACAAATTTTGAAGAAAAACAATATTTTTTACTTTCGGCTGTATAAAATATATAGTAAACTCCAAGTTAGTCATACATTAAGACCAAAATGTATTCTGCTACATGTTTTTGGTAAAAAAAATCCCAATAAGTGTATATTGATTACTTTGTGTGAAAGCTATTGCGTCTACAAAACTATGGTATAGATACTTCAATTTACACCATTTTTTTTGCTATACAGCGCTGCGCTAGTTTAACTGACAGTTACGTGGTAATGCAATACAGTACATAAATGAAATTTATGTCTTTTTCACACAAATAGAGCTTTCTTTTGGTGGTACAGTTGCAAGAAAAAGTATTTGAACCCCTTGGGATTACGTGGAGTTTTGCATGAATTGGGCATAAAATGTGCTCTGAACGTCATCTAAGTCACAACAATAGAAGAACACAGTCTGCTGAACATAATACTACACAAACATTAGATGTTGCCATGGTTTAATTTCACATAACATGTAAACATTCACAGTGCAGGGAGGAAAAAGTATGTGAGGTCCTAGCTTAATGACTTCTCCCAGAGCTAATTGGAACCAGGAGTGAGCCAACCTTGACTCCGATCAGTGAGATGATATTGGATGTGTTGCTGACAGCTGTCCTGCCCTTAACCCTTTGAGGACCCTAATATTTTGGAACGCCAAAAGAATCAATTTTTTTGTTTTTAAAGTTTGTACACTTCAGTTGCTGTAACTAAGCCATTTCATGAAATAATTGGCAAAAAGCTAGATCCATTTGTTGTTTGTTGATAAGAACTAAAATTTTGACTCAAACCAAAAAAAAAAAAAAGAGTTTTAAGTTCTTAATCAGATGATACACGCAATTAAAAACATGGGACAAATACGTCCCTTGGTCCTCAAAGGGTTAAAAAAACACACACCTGTTTTGGGTTTACTGGTTTCAAGAAGCACTGTCTGATGTGAACCATGCCTCGCAGAAAAGATTAAACCATGGCAACATCTAATGTTTGTGTAGTATTATGTTCAGCAGACTGTGTTCTTCTATTGTTGGGATTTAGATGACGTTCAGAGCACATTTTATGCCCAATTCATGCAAAACTCCACATAATCCCAAGGGGTTCACATACTTTTTCTTGCAACTGTATTTGATCACCTGTGCACTTTTTACCTTTGGCACTATAAACACAAATTTTGAAAAAAAAAAAATGTTTGTAAAAAAAAAAAACATATTTTCTCATTTCTGTCATAAAAAATATCCAAAAAACTCAAATTGTGTCATACATTTAGGCCAAAATGTATTTTGCTACATGCTTTTGGTTTTTACCAGAATAATGTCATATCATCAGTTCTTAGTGAGAAACAAGGCCAAACAAACATTTCGCAATATATAAGGCTAGCCAGCTATCTAGTAAGTAAATTTAATGGGGATTACTAATAGCAAAGAATTGTTGTTTTTTTTAACCGCTTCAGTACTGGACACTTTCATCCTCTTCTCTGGGCCAATTTTCTTATTTCCGCACATTTCCATCACAATTTGAATGCCAATTACTCAGTCATGCAATACTGTATCCAAATGAAATTTTTATTTTTTTTTTAATTTTTTTAGACAAATAGAGCTTTCTTTTGGTGGTATTTAATCATCACTGTTTTTTTTTTTTTGTTTTTGCTTTAAAAACAAAGAAAATGGAGAACTTGGAAAACACTTAAACTGAAGCTGAAAGCTCTTCTTGCTGACTGCTTTTGAAAAAACAAAATAATCATATGTAATATTTTATATTTATCTGACTTAACAGAAATTTGGCCCAGAAGTTTTTAGGATGAGCACTTCTGAGTTAATTTACATACAGAATACGATCTACAGATATGGGAGTTATGTATGCTTTATGCTACTGTCACACTGATCCGCCGCAAAAATGCATAGGTGTTTTTACCATGCTTTTGCCACATTTTCTGAGCATTTTTTAACCACCTCCCGCCCGCCATATAGTCCAATGACGGGCGCAAGGTGGTTCTCTTGTTCTGGTAGGCCGTCTTTTGACGTCCTTCCATTCTCACCACGCATGTGCGGCTCAGGGAGCGCGCAGCGCGGGGATCGGCTGTGCTCTGTGTCCCTCGGACACAGCGGATCACCGATCCACTTAAAGAGCTGAAGATGTTGGATTGGTCATGTGATCAGCTGATCACATGTAAACACGGAAATGCCAGTTATCGGCATTTCTCTCCTCTCGAGCTGTCACGCTGACAGCTCAAGAGGAGAGGAGAGCCGGTAATCGTCATTCCGCAGAGGGGACATGTACACTGATCATCAGGGCACTGATGATCAGTGTGCCCTTATGATCAGTGTGGCCCCAGAAGTGCCACCTGTCAGTGTTGAACAGTGCCACGTGCCAGTGCCCATCAGTGCCACATCAACGCCATATATCAGTGCCTACCAGTGCACATCAATGCCACATATCAGTGCCCATCTGAGCTGCCCTTCTGTGTCACCCATCAGTGCCAGTCAGTGCCACCTATCAGTGCCAGTCAGTGCCGCCTATCAGTGAGCATCAGTGTCACCTAACAGTGCCAGTCAGTGCTGCCTATCAGTGCCGCCTATCAGTGCCATATCTCAGTGCTGCCTTTCAGTGCCCACCAGTGATGCCTGTCAATGCCCATCAGTGCCACCTACCAGTGCCTCCTCATCAGTGCCCATCAGTGCCACCTATCAGTGTCCATCAGTGCATCTTATCAGTGCCCATCACTACAGCCTCATTAGCGCACATCAGTGAAAGAGAAAAATCACTTATTTACAAAATGTTATAACAAAAACTAAGAAAAACATTTTTTTTCATAATTTTCAGTGGTTTTTGGTTTGTTTAAGAAAAAATAAAAAACCAAGAGGTGATTAAATACCACCAAAATAAAGCTCTATCTGTCACAAAAAAATTATAAAAATTTCATATGGGTACAGTGTTGCATGACCGTGCAATTGTCATTCAAAGTGTGACAGCGCTGAGAGCTGGAAATTGGCCTGGGCAGGAAGGGGTATAAGTGCCCTGTAGGCAAGTGGTTAAAGGACACGTGACTTAAAAACTGCACCAAAAATGCTTCTCAGAGGCCTTTTTTTGCGGTGCTTTTTAGGCGTTTTCCATTGATGTCAATGGGAAGACGCCTTTTTGCGCTATTTTTTAACCACTTGCCCTCTTGAGGATTTACCCCCCTTCCTGACCAGGCTTCTTTTTGCTATACAGCGCTGCACTATTTCAACTGGTAATTGCGCGGTAGTCAAGAATTGTAATGAGGAAATAAAGCCCTTTAAATGCCTGAAGGTGTTTATTGGATGTTGGGGTCCTGTACTTGGCTAAACTGCCAAAAAGTCTCTCACATATGGTACCCCCATACTCGTACATACTCATACAAGTAGCAGAATGTATTTTGGTGAATAATTCCACATATACCTATGGCATATGTGAGCAATAAATCATTGATGTGACAATTTTGTATAAAAAAAAATGTTTTTGTCATTTTCAAAAAACTTGTGGGAAAAAAATTATTCTTCTATTGACTCAACATGCCTCTCAGCAAATGGGGTGATACCTCACATGCATGGCGCAACTGCTGTTTACATACATGGTACAGGGTCAACTCTCACACATGCAGGTGCTCACGCGGGGGCGGGAGGGGGGCGAGGGTGCTTTTCTTTTTTTTTTTTTTTTTTTTTTGTTATTTCGATTTTTTTAATTATTTTTATATTTTCATTTGTCCCTTTCATTTTTTTTATCACTTTTAATGCTATCACAGGGAATGCAAATATACCCTATAACTTCAATGGGCATTGTCATATATTCTTTTTTGAGAAATCTGGGGTCTTTCGGGCTTTAGATATCTTCTCTGCCCTTACATTACATCTCACCAAGATCGGTGTGATCAGATGCTTTCCCAATTTACAAATGGCGCTGTTTATATCCTGCGAAACCTAAGTGATGAAATGCTCATAGTTTCCGATTTCTTAGACTATAGAGATGATTGGCACCATTCCGGTCTCCAGTCAGCTCTATGGTCAGCTAACAGAAACACCGGCTGCATTCTCAGGTTCCCCCGATGGCACGGGACTGCCTGAGAAGGCCGTTGAAGGCAGCAGGGAAAGGGGGCATCATCTCCCACTGCTTGTAAAAGCAATCTTGCAGCTAATTAGCCACTAGGATTGCTTTTACATGAAAGCCAATCGCCGGCTGAAAAAAAAACGATACCAGGATGATGCCTGCAGCTGTAGGCATCATCCTGGTATAACCATTCAAAGTTCAGTGATGTACCAGTACATCCCTGGTCCTTGTTGTGTATATATGCTATGTTCTTTTTTTTTATTGAAATATTTGCCAAAAAATATTAAAAATATATATGCCAAAGCATAGGGCCATATACTATGTTCTTTTTTTTTTATGCAGCCTGTGGGCTGAATGAAGAAAAGAAAAGAAATTTCTGCCAGAAAAAGTGTGTGGTATGCCCCCCATTAGAATATACCACCCTGCATCCACCCACTGTGGGCACACATTAGGTCACACAGTGCCACATGTGCCAATTCCAAGATTGTACAAATGTCTAAATAGTGGCACGTTTGAATAAAAATTGTCCACGTATAAGTGGTACCCCATGTGGAAAAAGGATGACACCAAGTCCCAAACTATCTTACTCGAGGAACAGGTAAGATCAAACAAAAACTCTGCAGAAGTAAGAGCGGGTACCTGTCAAATTCAGGTACCCGCTCCCCACTTCCCCAAAGGTCAGCAGTCATCTGTACTGTCCGCAGTCTCTGGTCATCCCTGTGCTGTCCGCAGTCTCTGGTCATCCCTGTGCTGTCCGCAGTCTCTGGTCATCCCTGTGCTGTCCGCTGTCTCTGGTCATCCCTGTGCTGTCCGCAGTCTCTGGTCATCTCCTGTACTGTGTCTGCAGTCCATTAGTTCAGAATTTTTTTTTCCCTGTTTTCTGCCTCTAAAACCTAGGTGCGTCTTATGGTCAGGTGCGTCTTATACGGCGAAAAATACGGTATACTCTCATATCTATACCTGGCATTGGCAGCAGAGAACACGGGCATATGACAAGTTTGGTCTGTGGACCAATACAACCGCAATTCATTTTTTTTAGTAATGCCCATGTTGAGTGTTAGGTCCAAAAAAAAATTAAATTCGGACACCATAATGAATTTCCATGCGAATGGTCTGGCAAGGTTTGAATTTGGGTTGGCGGTGATAAATTGTTGTACATATCAATTTCTTTGATCCATAATCCATGCATACAGATCTTCCATGAAAAACAGCTCCAAAAAATAAGGGGAGTAGATAAATTTGCTGTTTCCACCTGAATTCCGGGTTGGGCAGTGAATGGGAGAAGTATGGGTGCTGCAGAATTCATGGGCTACCAATCAGGATTTGCAAGCACATCCTAAAGGATACTAGGAGCTCTACGGGCCTGTGTGTGAATTCTTAGTGGTTGCGGGACAATACTTGTGCTCGCCACCGCACCAGCTTATACTGCACTTATGGGACTCACCACGTCACCAAGTGATACTGCAATGCTGGTATGTGAAAGACCAGGTCGTACTAGGTAGCTGGTGCTCGCCAGTTCACCAAAAGACAGAGCGGCACTAGTACTGGTACTCTGTTGCATATGAGAGTCATCAGGCCTGATTCTGCGAACACTGTGGTTTTGTGTGCAATGTATCAAGTGACAGTGACCTACTGACACTGCACTTGCTGGGGGAGAAGGGGGGGTAAGCATAAGGGCTAAACGCAGCTGCCGGGGCTGATCCCACTAATGCTGTATTTTTGGGGACACTATACTAATGTGAACACTGGTATAGTGCTGATCTGATCAAACATATTGATCCATTCAGACACTATGCTAGTAATGGAGGTTTATTGTGTATGAGCGTCTTCCTGGCAATCAAGGGGTTAAATGTGATTACTGGTGTACTAACGGGCAAGCTGACGCTATCTGGGAGGGGCACGTAAACCACGGGAGCATGAACCACGTATATATACGTGATTTTGCGCACCCGTGCCGCCCTGTAGCAGTAATTCTGCTATAGGGCAGTCAGGAAGTAGTTAAAGAAGCGGTTTGTGTTACGGCGCTGCATTACTTTGAATGACAATTGCAGGGTCATGCAGCGCTTCACCCAGATTAAATTCATGTCCTTTTTTTCCACGAATTGAGCTTTCTGTTGGTGGTATTTGATCGCCTGTGCGGTTTTACTATAAACAAAAAAAGACCGACAATTTTGAGAAAAAAAAACAATATTTTGGACTTTTTGCTATTAAACATGTCCAGTTGATATTTAAACATCAAATTTAGGCCAAAATGTACTCTGTTAGATGCCCTTGCTACAAACAAATCCCAATACTTTAATTAATTGGTTTACGTGAAAGTTATGCCGTTTACAAATTGCAGTACAGATACTAGAATTTTTTTTTATATACTAATAATGGCGGCAATCCGCGAATTATGGCGGCAATCAGCAACTTATAGTGGGACTTCGGGACTGCGGTGGGCATTCTGACACTGGGGGTAACTGACTTGGTGTCACTGACATCCCCAGTGGCACTGGGCAGGAATAAGCTAACATGAGGGGAAATCAAAAGGTCAACTGTATGTTGGGAGTGTTTTACTAGGGGGCGGGGGGCATGTGCTTCACTGTAAGCACACTGATCAGGATGGCTGTGTTCAGCCATCCAGTGCAGTGTACCCAAACTGACAGGGAGGAGGGCTGTTGGTAAACAATGCAGTCCTCCTGTCAGGGATCCTGTCGCTATGCAGCTGTGCGATGGTGACGGATCCCCTCTGCCATGGCGGTGTGAGTGTGTGCATGCGCGGGAGTGTGCGGACACTCATGCGCAGAAGTGTGGAAGTGCGCGCATGTGCAGTAGCGTACATGTGACCGCAGGCGGGCTAGTTAAACCTGCAATAGAGTGAAATCAATGCCTTCTGGACTATAACGTCCCTGCACTCTATTGCCTGATTCTGTTACCTGTATCCTGATCTGACCTAAGAAAGAACTCCGCCCGCACCGACCCCGGCTATCCGCTTGCCTGCTCCTTTGTACTTGATCTGCTCATCTGATACTGACCCGGCTTGTCTGACTCTGCTGCACCTTGTTACCTGTACCTGCACCTGGCTTGCATCCTGACGGCTGCCATACTTACCTGCTGCTGCACCCACGGTCCTGCACCTGGCCTGCATCCTGGTCACCGCTATACATACCTGCTGCTGAACCCACGGTCCTGCATCCGGCCTGCATCCTAGTCACTGCCATACCTGCCTGCTGCCGCATCCATACTCCTGTGTCCAGTGCCAGTCTGCATCCTAATTGCTGCCATACCTGCCTGCTGCTGCACCTATGTTCCTGCATCCGCACCTGACCTGCATCCGGATCTCCTGGGTCTTCACCTGCCTGCTACCAGCTCCAGACCAAACCCGGCACTCGTGCCACTCCTGGCTCTGTGCCCTCTGTTCGCACTATCAGGGGCTCCGAGCGGGAGTCGTAAGAGGATGCCTCCTCTCCACGTCAGGCTCCCCAACCAGGTACGTGACACCTCCTCTCTGTCGGTGATGGTGGTAATCACCGGGTGTCGGCGGGTAATCACCGGTCGGGACCCGGTGATTGACACCCCGGGGCCTCAATCGGTGGCTCAGGTAGGGCGCATGCCCCCTACTCGGAAATACAGAATCACGTATATATATACGTAAATACTGAAATATGGGGTCTTGAGAGCTACTATGGTGTATGCTACACTATTTAAAATAATACCAATGCTGTGTAGTAAAATCAATAATAAAATAAAATTATCATAAAATAGTGTAAATATGTGAAAATGAGTGGTTCACTAACACTCCACACATACTCATACCATTGTGTCATAGAAAATTAAATAAGAAATAGTGTTGCGATCCACTACCAATTGCAAAAAAAGTATAAATAAATAACAGTCCAGCTTCACAAATGTGCATAATGATATCTCTGCAATTATACTATTGCTACACACATGTCTTTATTAAATCCTTGACTTTGACATTTCTTCCAGCTGCTGTGATACAAAATTATTAACTGTGCAATTCAGCAGTCATAAGAAATATTTTGTACACCTTGACCGGTTGTTTTCACAGAATCAGGCGTGATTTCTTTTAGCACTTGCCGGTACATTTTTTTTGTAGCTGTTCAAGCAATCCCTGACAGTCAGGCACTCTTTTTCCCGTGAGTCACACTAGGTACCTGTAAATCCAAAATGTCCAACGAAAGGTCCACTAATGAAGAGGCCTGCAGGATTCTGAGCTTGTCAGGTTAGAGCGAAGGGGAAGACTCACTGACACAATCAGCCTCAGAATACGAACCTGTAGACATCAGCGGCACCCTGACAGGTAACTTGGATGATTGATAAGAGGTCCCTGTTAAGATCAGGTGTACCAGATCCTATGAAGCTGAAGTGCTAGGATCGCATAACTATCACATATGCAGCAGAGTGCCAGTACTAGTGCCACACTACCTTTTGGTTAACTGGCGAGCACCAGCACCTACTTCCCCGTATCCGTACTTCCCCCATTCACTGCCCAACCCGGAATTCAGGTGGAAACAGCAAATTTAAATACTCCCCTTGATTTTATGGAGCTGTTTTTCACTGAAGATTTGTAAAATTTGATTGTGGGCCAAAGCAATTTATATGCTCAACAATATATCACCGCAAACCCAAATTCAAACCTTGCAAAACCATTCGCATGGAAACCCATTACGGTTTCTGAATTTAAAACTTTTTGGGCCTAACTCTCAACATGGGCATTACCAAAAAGAGTGAGTTGCAGTTGTATTGGTCCACAGACCCGATTCATCATGTGCCCATGTTCTCTGCTGCCATGGCCAGGCATAGATATGAGATGATAATGTGCTTCATGCATTTCAGTGATAACACACTCTGTCATCCTCGGGGTGACCCTGAATATGACAGGCTGTACAAAATTAGGACCATCATAAACCACCTCCCTGAGAAATTTGCAGGTGTGTATACGGCCCAGCAAAACATCTGCGTGGATGAGTCCCTCATTTACTTTACTGGCCACCTTGCATTCAAACAGTATATCCCCAGCAAGCGTGCCAGATATGGGGTCAAATTGTATAAGCTTTGTGAGAGGGCCACAGGCTATACGTACAAATTTAGGGTTTATGAGGGAAGAGACAACGAAGTAGAGCCAGATAGTTTGGGACTCGGTGTTGTGTTTGTTCTGTAAGGGGTACCACTGATACGTGGATAATTTGTATGCAAGTGTGCCACTATTTAGACATTTGTACAATCTTGGATTTGGCTCATGTGGCACCATGCGACCTAATTGCCTGGGCTTCCCCCAACGGCTTGCAAATACCTGACTTAGAAAGGGGGAGAAAGCCTGCTTGAGAAATGATGAATTTCTCCCAGTGAAGTGGAAGGACAAATGGGATGTTTTCGTCCTGTCTTCCATTCACGTAGACGTGACAGTCCAAATTATTACGGTATCTGGCATTGTTCAGAAACCCTTCTGTGTCCACAACTATAACCTTAACATGGGAGGGGTGGACTTCAATGACCAAAGGATGAATCCGTACCTAGTTTCCCGGAAAGCTCGACACTGATACAAAAAGGTGTCTATTTATTTATTTCAATTGGCTATATATAACCCTTTTGTAATTTACAAAGCAACTGGACAAAGTGGATCCTTCCTAAAAATCCAGGAAGAGATCATCACGACCCTTTTGTATCCAGAAGGTGCTGTGGTTCAATCCTCAAATCCAGATGGAGTTAGCCGACTGCATGAGAGGCTTTTTTCGGATGTTATCTCTGGTACCCCAATCCAAGGGTCACCCCAAAAATGTGCCTGTAGCAGACACAGAATAAGACACAACACCCTTCTGTCCTGGCCAACCTG